CTCACTTTGACATGCCCACGATCTGGAATAGCAGCGATGCCATGATGTTTCTGTGAACTTCCATTAGCCTCTAAAGCTGGACCTGGGTTGTTTTCGATTCAATACATTCAAGCGCAAATTTCATAAAGGAAAGAGAAAGGAAACAAAGACACCATTAGCAGGCGTATAGTGAGGAGGAATCGGACGGCTTCCACAGAGGGCAGATGAAAAGTTTGCGAACTACCAGAGTGTTCTTTCCCTTTCCTCATTTCTAGGAAGTTCCCTTAAATCTACCACATACTGGCTTCATCCCTCATCCTCCCTCCTTACCATATTTTATAGTTATCTCAAGACTGGGAAATAATTACAGGTGTCTGGTTGGCTGGCTGGCTGCATCCTTTATTAATTTTGGCATTGGGAAACCTTCTCAAAGGAAACACATCAGAATGATAACAGCTCAGAGGAGAAAAAAATAGTGCAAAACCCCATCGCATGCCCTTCACCCTAGGCATCGCCCCAGCTGGCAAGCCAGTCATGCAATACATATGAAAGATTGAACTGCATATTCTTTGTCATAAGGGAAACTGCTTGTGGTTACTAAAAGAGGACGACTACCTGTACTCCGTACTGGACCACTGTGTGTGCTTTTCACATTCAAATAAGCCTGTATTTGGCTTCCTAATCATGTAAGTAAATAAGGGCTAGAGGTGGGTTTACTTTTTTTCTTCTTTACTGACCCAGGGGAGGCAAGTCCCCTTAGGGCCCCTCCTTTTTGGCAGAGGTAGGCTGGATAACAATACATAAATTACATATTAATTTTGGCATTGGGAAACCTTCTCAAAGGAAACACATCAGAATGATAACAGCTCAGAGGAGAAAAAAATAGTGCAAAACCCCATCGCATGCCCTTCACACTAGGCATTGCCCCAGTTGGCAAGCCAGTCACGTAATACATATGAAAGATTGAACTGTTTATTCTTTTACCTTTGTCATAAGAGAAACTGCTTGTGGTCACTAAATGAGGACTACCTGTACTCCCTACTGGACCAGTGTGTGTGCTTTTCACATTTAAATAAGCAGAAGTTGGTTTGGAGTTGCTGGATCTAAAGTCCTGACATTACCTTGCAAGGTCTCAGAAGTGAGCTCATATCTATAGCAATTGTGACTGAGTTGCTCGTATCTGCAAGCTCTCTGTACAAGGACACTTCCTTCATAAATTTATTTTGGCGTTTGATCTTCATTCATTGTCTCTGTATGACCAAATCACCCCCACACACTTTGTACTGGTCATTCTCTCACTCACTAAATCCACATTCCTTCTTTCACCCATGCATTGTTGATGTTATCACGCTGTTGTAGAATTTTTGCCGAAGACAGGATCACAACGCTGAGGAAAAGAACCAGGTTTATTGCAATGATCATTGGGTGCCTGCTTTCAAGAACTCTGAACAATAGAAAAGCATAGAATTTATACACTTTTGAGGTTGAGAGGCAGGAAATCTGAGGGATCTGATTTGAGGATAGGTTTGGATAGGTGTTAAATGGGGGATAAATGGTTTTTTCTATTGTGAGATAAGAACCAGCAGACAGGTGATGGCCCTCCCATTGTTTCAGTGTTAAGCGGGCTATTTTTGGCAGCAGAACATGGTCACTCAACGGACCACATCCTACTGACTATCTTTCTATCAGCTAAAATTTCTCCATCTGATTTCTCATCTTTGGTAAATATTCTTCCAAAGTACATGGATTTGTTCTAGTTTTTCACCGTGTATATATCGCTTGCATTATTTCTGTACACCTCCTGCCCCTGAAGCCATAGGTTGCCTCTCTGATTTCCCAATCCCTGCGAAGAGCTACCAGTGCTCCTGAATTTCTGTGGCGTGGTCTTGGAGGTCTTTGGGAACAAAATGGGGCTGCACGGGGCTATGGGCACACACCTGCCTTTTGGAAATTAAGAGATATCTAGTTCCTGCCCAGATTAAAAATGGAATCATCCTTAACTGGATCCTTGAAATACAGAATAGCTCAGCCCTCAGTTCACACTAGGGATCCAGTGCTGCAAATCCCGCTGAGTGAGATCACAAAGAGGAGTGTGCATTCTTTCTGGTTGACATTATTGCAGACTGGGAGATTTAGCAGGTTGAACCTTGCTTATTATTCCTCAAGTTAGCCAGGAGCTGCCACAACCTATTGCTGCCATCCGCTGCCTGCTGTTTTATGCATAAACTTACTAGAAGAGAATATACTGCAATCCTCTCAAACTTCTACATATCAAGGGATCACAGGATGGACCATGACTTGTTGACTACAACCTAGAACTGAGGGTGTACAGAATAGACTGGATTTAACAGAGCAGCATATCCAGATGTTAAGAGGAGATGAGATGAGGAGTTTGCAATGGCAGAAATCACAATAATTTGGCCTGTATCATTAATCTGCTGATGTTGCCCTCTTGTTTGGACACTCTGTTATTTGCCAGCTAAATGGATGGGAGTAAGACGGCCACCAAATTCTAAATTCAAGCATCAGTTTTTCTTATAGTGTAGAGCAAAAGCCAAGTCTTCATATAATTGGAGGTTAACCTAGAAATTGTCTGGCCAAGCATTTTTTGAAGACGTTTCAAACCAAAAAACGCTTTTGTTCTTTACTATCCAGAACTCTTTATAAAAGCATCATTTGTATGCAGAGAAACTCATTCTTGTACATGGGGTACAAGCATAGAATCAAGTTATTAAATGTTGATAATACAAGGAATAGTATCATTTTCATCACAGGAAGATGAAGAGAAATGCAGGATCATGAACCTCAGAGACTGCAGTCCCAAGTCCATTCTGACAGATTTCTCCCTTTGCAGTTGTTTCTCCAGGCAACCCTAAAAGTAAGAATAAGAATATTGACTGTCTTCAGATGTTTCTTGTAGGTCTACTTCAAGAGATTCAGGAAGTTCTCAGGTGAGCTAGTGCCAACGATCATTCATTTTTTGTTTTCATTGACTGATAAAGTTTCTTTGCTACTTTTTCAATTCCAGATTAAACCCAAAGGAAAAATAATTGTTTTAGCTAAGATAGTCCTGACTTTCTATTTCTCACACGGAAGCCCACATGCAACTGAGGCCCAATAGATGCTTTGGACTCCCATATAACCTTGCCAGAGTCCATGGTGGCCAGAGCTAAAGGGAGTTAAAGTGAGAACTATTTGGTGAGCACCAGAGGGCTCCCAAAATCCTACACAAAATCTTAGAATGCATCAGAAGGGCACACAGCAGAGGAAGTTTTAAATCATTCTGAGTGTTGACCACATAAGATCTGTATTGTTTCCTTTTGGATGCTCATTGCCAGCTTAAGGGTTTCCCATCTAATGATCTGTCGCTGCAGCCCCCTTTCCTTTTCATCCCAGGATTGGAGGCTTGAGAGTTGTCTCTCCCTGCTTCTCTCACCACCGTGTTCTTTCCCTACCAGATCTCTGATCCTGTGGAGCTCATCCACGGGATCAGAGTCCTGCTGTTTAAAAGATCATCTGCCAAATTCTTCTGCTACTTGTCCCAACTCTGTGCTAAACCCCAACGCTGAACCTGTGTCCAAAAAGATCTTAAAACAGCTAACAAGCACAGAAGTGGATAATGGATTTGAAATGAAACTCAAGGAATTATCCAGCTACAATGAGCATCAAACTCTGCCCCCCCCCGCCGCATAAGGTGTGTGTCAGTCTAGTTTTAAACCTGGGCTTAAAAGACTGTTAAACCTTATTCTAAAGCAACCAGAATGCAAGTGGAGCAATTAAAAGACAACTTTCCATATTCAGAAATTGCATTTTACCACCAATGCTCAAAGTTGTACAATAATCAAAAGAAAGTTAATTAACTTAGATGACCACAACAATAATTTCAGTTGCTACTGAATGTTACAAGTGGAAAGATGTTAATGAGAGATTGACTCACCAGGCACCCATCCTAAAGGGACCCTGCACAATTCTCTTAGCACACTCAGCATCATCTGTGATGTTGTCATTGGTGAAAGCCGCCGAAAGAGGCAAATTAGAATTAGATATCTGGCATAGAGCTTAGAAGAAATATGTAGCAGACTTATTGGGCGATAATTGGCAGGTTCCTGCTGGTTGCCCTTTTTAAAGATTGGGTATATTATACTTTCTTTTCAGTGGGTAGGTACAACACATGTTTGATCTATTTCTGAGAAGAGTCAATCAGGATGGGGACCCATTAGGAATCACTCATCTTATATACCTCTGGAGGAATCATATCTTCTCCAGGAGCTTTTCCAAGAGCCAAGGTTGAAATAAGCTGCTTGCATTCAGATTTTGAGACAGCTGGCACTCTATGCTTAGTTCAGTAGAGACTGTTGTTGGCTCAGTATATGGGCAGTTATAAATGGAGGAAAAATATCAGATCCAACTTTGTGCTGAGATACATGCATGGGACATAGCGCTGTATGTGTAGATACCATTCGTTACCAATTCCCAAAATTTGGGAATGCAGGAGTAATCTATGACACTGGCTCCAAATGGGCTTAGAAAACTATAATGCCCATTAGAACTGACAAAATTGGAGCCATGGAGACTATACAGCCTATACTTAAAGGCCAGATTCAGTAAGGAAACTCCTTGCTTGCTTAGTAATTTGTCTTTGGAGGACCAGGGCAAAGAGTTGGGACAAGTTGGGAAATTCTGACAGAGAGTGCTGGTGAATCAAGGTCCATCAAGTCATGCAGAGTTGGATGCAAGTGAACAACCAGGAGAAGAAGGACTAGAACCTCCCTTCAAAAGTATCATCTGACTTATTTGGGACATTTCACTTTTTTCTTTCCTTTTCTAATGAAATAGATGTCAGTCCTTGGAAGTAGGTCAGGTCAGGAATCAGACACTGCAAGGATTACAGGAATGTTACTTAGCTGTCGTAGAACATAATAATAACAAAAGAACTTGGAAAGCTTGTCAAAGCTTCTCTCTCCCACCTCTTATACCAAACAGAATCAAGGTGGCCTTACGGTAT